AAAATCATATTCAAAAGAATATGAAAGAAATGTATGGAAATCGATTCAGTTTTTTGAAACAGCTTTCGGCATTTGGGAATAAAAAACCAAAAGAGAAAAAAAACGCACAGATCTAAACAAAATTGTTATTGCAATTAATTCAATTGTTAAAGCTCAGATCAAGTTAGAGGAGAAGTCTTCATCGAATGAAAATTCGGCAAACGAATTCAAACTTTATTTTTCCAAAATAAATTAAAGTGTTTGCTTTTGAAAAAAAAATTCTTTAAATGTTAAGAAATTTCATATGATAAATATTGTGTTTGGGTGCACAAAAATCGAATAGCAACAAATGCTGCAAAATAGTATTGAATTTATATATTTTATCGAGCCTCACAACATAGGCAAATGTCCAAATAATAATCCGAACCGAAGCCGAAGCCAAACCATGTTTTACTCAAAAAATATGTGGAGAAAGATTCATCAAAAGTCTTCGGATCTTTGCAATTGAACGAACGAACGCACATTAGCTTTGTTGATGTATTTGTATTGTTTCAGTTTATGTTGCATAGAAAAATATTGAAAAAGTTCAAGGTTGTGGCAAGGCAGAAATTTAAGGCTCAGGCAATTTTTAGTAGGGCTTACAGCCCGGCTAAAAACCGTGTGCGAAATGGTAATCCACATCGAAAACGCGTCAGTTATAATAAGTAGCTGAGAGTCTGGCAAGTCTGGCAACAATGTGGCTGGGCACTTGCTACCAGTTCGAAGAGTGGCTGCTGCTGCTGCTGCTGCTACTTATCAATATGTTAACTGGCAGTTCTTGGAAAGCCGCAGACGTCAAGCGCTGCCTGCAGGAAGCTGTAGCTGTAGCTGAGGCTGGACCCAAAGTGCGCTTCTTACTCCGCTCTAATGGCAATTCATTTTTCTTAGACGGCGTCAGATGGCGCAGCCCAAAAGCGCAAGTTGCACAATCAATTTGCAGCTTGGCAAACAGGCGACAAAAGTGACAGGAGCGAGAGGAAGAGCGAGAGGGAGAGCGAGAGGGAGAGGGATGCAACTGCGGGCCCGCAGCTAGAGCTCAAGTTTTTGGGCTGTGGCCAACCAATGAAATGGCTCAATCAATTAGGGCCTGTCATAATGCGTCTTACAGCAACAACAACAACAACAACAACAACGACAACAACAACAACAGCTGTGAGTGCCAGCTTTATCAACGTTTTCTTGGGACCGGCTTTGGGCATGGACTGTGGCTGTGCGGCTTGTGCATGTTGCTGCAACATCAATAAGCTGCAAGGCAGACAACGGACAACAGACAACAGACAACGGACAACGGACAAGATGCGTGCCTCACTTAGCTGCCTCGTATCTTATGTGATGAAATTTATGCTTAATTAAAAGCGACACAAGGCCCCGGCACAGGCTGCGCGCACAACGCACAACGCGTTGCCGCCGATAACAGTCAGAGCTGGAGGATTCGCTCACTTGGCTGACAATTAATGCGCTTTTGGAACGCACAGATCGACAACTGCAACTGCCCCCCCCTGCTCCCTGGCTGACTTTGAATCTGGCTCTCTAATTCAATTAAAGTCCCCGCACGCATGTTGGCCAGCCTGTCCGGTCTGCGCCGCGATGGATGCACGTCTGTGCCTCAACTCAGAGTCAGAGTCGGAGTCAGAGTCAAAGTCGAAGTCGCAGTTGGAGTTGGAGTCGAAGTCGAGCTGGTGTCTCTGTGGCCGGGACTGGAGAGAAAGGCAGCACGTTGCCAACTTTTGCACTCATTAGTCTCCCACAACGTGAATTAAGATAATCTGCGGCGCGACGACAACGTTTGCGACTGCGAGCTCCACTTGGGATTCGGATTTGGATATTTGGTCTGCGACTTCGTCTTCGTCTTCGTCTTCAAATTGGACTTGGCGACTTTGCGACTTGGCGACTTGGCGACTTGGGCGCTTGTTGTGCAAATGAATTGTTGCTGATTTCATTTGAACGATTAGCGCCATGAGCATGCCTACCCCCCCGGCCCCTCTCTGACCGACTAGATGCGCATTCGCATCGCCTCTGCGGGCACAGCCTCCCCTTTTCCAGCTGGGCTGTGCAAATGCAAATGGCCTCTGGCATGCTTAGCAATTAGACTAATTGCCTGGCTCGCCCAGTTGCAGCGGAGGCGTTGACCATGCCCTCAGCTGATGCCACATCAGCCAACCGTCAATGCCTAATCCTTTGTAGCCATGTCTATGGCTTCCCCTCTCTCTCTCTCTCTCTCTCTCTCTCTCTCTCTCTCTCTCCGTCTCTCTGTCGTCACGGATGTGTGTGCACATTCTATGTACTCGAGCCCAAATGCACATTGCGCATACGCACTGTGCGCGCCGAGCCTATTGCAATATATGCCTGCAGATTGGCCAGCCAGAGCAGCAGCAGCAACAACAACAACAACAACAACAATAAGAAGAAGAAGGGCATGCGTTCATCCATTCGACAGCCGGGGCCAGGTGGCTGCCGCAGACGCGAACCTGGGCGCAGTCGTTGCAGCATGGAGCAACGCCTACAGTCACGCAGACACCCGCAACAGATACAACAGATACCCATTCACACACGCACACACACACACACACATACACATCCGACAGTTGGCAGTGTATAGCCCGATATGGAGAAGCGGGAACCTTGAGCTAGCCATGGGATTCGTGTGCAGGATTATTATTTGTTGAATTGGTCACGATTCAAGTGACTTTGAAGGACCACAAGAGACCCCATGATGATGACAATTTGGGCTGACTAAACGTAACACAGAGCGTCGAAGTGACCCTGGAGGACATCTTCTAACAGCTGAACTCAGATGCAGATCAGATCAGCTGGTTTATCTAGTTCTGCAAGGTCTTTCAAGTCCTCCATGCTTACTTTGCATACGTTCAGATAGGATAGATAATGCATAATGCTGTGCTTAATTAACCGTGGAGGACTAAAACGTAAAGAAATTTAACACTTAACTAACTAAGTGACCCTGGAGCCGAACTCAATGTTGATATCATATCCCATAGCAAGCGCTGGCCTGGTGTCCTCCATGGTTACATTCTACCTATGATGCACAGCTGGCGGCGATATAGATAGGCAAGAAATAGGAAAATTCCGTAAAAATTGTTATGGAAATCAAAAAAGAAAGAGAAGAAGAATCATGAAATTGGTAGCCGTAGAATCGATGCCCAAGCAGATGGCAGGGTATTTGGCTGTCGTTGCGTTTCCATTGAGACTCAATTTTGTTTTTCTCGTATTTTGGACAGTCATCAGGGCCAGGAAAAGCAACAGCAAATCCCTGGACCAAGCATCAAATGGCAACAAGAACAACAATCGCAGAACAACAACTGCAGCGTTGCATGAGTACGTGTGTGTGCGTGTGTGTGTGTGTGTGTGTGTGTGTGAAGTGCTTTCGCTCCTTTGGCCAACCAACAGCAGAGGCTGGAGCAGGAGCCGGAGCCGGAGCAGGAGCTGGAGCTGGAGCTGGCCTGTGTGTGCCTGTGCCAGATGATTAATCGAATTAGTTTTTCTTTTTTGCGCTTTCACTTTGCAGCGCACTCCTTTCATTTACATTTTCTTTTGCACTTTGGGTACGTTGTGTAGTTTGTTGCATATTTTTGTGCGCACCAGGATGCGCACACACACACACACCGAGTGAGAGGGGGGGGGGGGGGCAGACTGAGCAACAGACAAGTGAAGTGGAGTGGCAGCTGACCAACTGCGTCCGTGCCGGATTTTTTACTTTTCTTTTCTTTTTCCATTTTTTGTTTTTTCCTCTTTTTTTGGCAATGCCTGACCCACGTTGCCTTTCGTACCTTCGCCGCTTTCCCCCCCCCCCCCCCCTTCCTTCCACCCCCTTGTCTTCGCCACCGTGCTGGCATTCATCCTGGCCAAACGTCGTTAGCATGCAAAGGGCGCAAAAAAAAAAAAATAATAATATAGAGGCAAAAATTTTACATTTCGTCTGATGAAATGAAAGCCTCGGCCTGATGCCAACGCGGCCAAGGGAAAGGGGGCAAGGGCAGGGGTAGTTATCTCGGTGTGTGACTGTGTATTCGTATTTGTATGTGTGTGCCTGTGTGTGAGTGTGCGAGTGTGTGTGTGTTGGGTGCGCAATAACTGCAAATTGCATGGGCGGCTCTAAGGCAATTTTTTTATATTATTTTTCTTCGCTGCTGTCATTGTTGCTGTTGTTGTTGTTGTTGTCTGTGGCATTTCATTTGATTTGCGCTTTGTTGTTGTTGCTGCCATGTGAAACGCAATAAGAGCATCAAAGTGCAACACACACACACACACACACACACACACACAGAGATAGAGCGTGGCATGCAGCTTGGTGGGTTTCCCATTTTCATTTATTTTCCGTTTGTTGTTGTATTTTTGTATGTTTTTATTCGCTTTTGTCCGTTGTCTTTGCCCCGGCCTGCCATTTTCAGCGAATGATTGTTGCATAAACGTCGTCTTTGTGTTGTTGTTGCAATCTATGCGTGTGTCTGTGTGTGTGTGTGTGTTGGGCCATTCATTTGCCGCCCTGTTGTGCACTTTATGCAGTCCTTTGAGTGGCAGCAGCCGCAGCCGCAGCCGCTAGTCGATTACCATTGGCGACTGGGCGCACGTGTGGTATGAGCAATAAACGAATGCGAATTGAGTTGAGTTGCGTTCAGTTCGGATTGGAAATAGAACAGCTGCATGTATCTAGATACACATGTGACCACTATTTAACACTTATTGCAGATACAATTTGATGACAACTTTATAAACTGTTCTGCTTTAAGCATTTTGCAAGCCATGCAAGAGAAATCTACATCTCGAAGGGGTTAAAGGCACACATCAAGAGTCATTTGCCTTGTACCAAAAGATCTTGAGCGACTGAAGCCATATTTAGTGTACAACTTTTTCAACTGTGAGCAGAATATTGATTGAGTACTTTTATTAAAGCTAGCAGACAACCCTAACAAATATTCTCTTAATTATATAAGTACTTATGTGTGTATATGTGAATATGTACTCACTCAAAAATTCACAATGCACAAGCGATTTGTGTATTACCATGTATATATGCATGGACATTTGCCTGAAAATAAGAAGTAGAGAGCTGCTGTTAGTAAAAGCAACAGGATAAGGTGAGTGGGAGAGAGAGAGAGAGAGACAGATAGATAGCCAGAGGATAAATAACCCGTAGGACCCTCTAATTGAATTCATAAGAATCGCGTAGAAAGGCACAAAGAAAACATTGTAGCTGACCGCTGAAAACTTGAATATATATTTACCAAGCAGGCTGAAATTTTGCAAAGATCTTTCAGGGAACTCAGCTTAAGCCCGATGCTGTTGCCAAACAACAAGCCATTCGAGCGAACCGTAAAACGAGCCAGCGACACTTTTCTCTGATTGTCATAAGTGTCTCATGTGATTGGAGCTTATTCGGATGCTCAGTTTGTGCTCTGCTGAAATTGCGGGTGTCGATTCGTTTTACTCTAACGGACTGCTTACCTGTCAAATCGTATAGTTCTTTAAGTGGAAAACTCTCGCAAGCTGCGCTAATCACTTGCGAAGGCTTTTGCGCTGGCCAGCACCTGCCTTCCTTCTCACAGTGCCGCCCGGCCCCGCTGCTCCCTTGGCACACGACCGTTGCCAGGAAACGGAAACCCGAAGTGGCAGCAAGGAGCTTCTGGGCTGGCCAACGCAACGAGGGAAGGTGGGAAAACGTGCCAAGCACAATTCAAGCAGCTAAGTAAGTATATTAATATGCGTCCTTGCGATGCTGATGCAGGCGACCGACAGACGCATTACGCACCCCGCCTCCCATTTTCCCTACCCCTGCTGCTCGGAGGGATCGACGGAATGGCCACTTTGCGTCGCGTGTGGCAAGCAAATGAAATTGCAAGGAAAATGAAAATCTAACGCACAAAAAAGTGGGGTAAACAAAACAAAATGGCAAGAGTGAAGAAAATGAAAACAGCGAGCCGGTGGATGGGCAGGAAAAGGACAGGGGGGAGGGGGGCCGGGGAGGGAATCAGAAAAAATACACAGAGGGAGCCGATATCCTTGAAACATAAAACGTGGTTAGGGCTCTGCTCGAGGTGCGGGCTCGGGTTAATGTGCAAATGCAATGCGAACAAATGCAGTAGCCAAAAATGAAGGCGAATGCGGGCGGTCGGTCGGTCGGTCGGTCGGTCACGGAGCGAAGGTGGAGGTGGAGGTGGAGTCGGAGGCAGCGTCGCCATTTTGAGCGTCTCCATCTCCGTCGTCGTCGTCGTCGTCGTCGTCTTATAAACATCATTCATTTTGGCCCCTTGTGCATGGGATTAAGGTTATTTCAAGGATGCCGCTGCTCCCGACTAGCGCCCAAACGGCAGCAACAACAACAACTGCATACAACTGCAACAACAACAACATCAATAACAGAGAGGGTGCGGAAAAAAATGCTCCTTTTGCGCGTAAACATCATCAAAATTCATCAATCTCTGCCAAAAACTTGTGAAAAACTTGGTTTTCGGGCAACGGGCCGGGGCTGTGCCAGAAGTGCCAGAGTGTCGGCATGAAGATACACAAAGTGCCAGCGACTGTGCGTGTGTGTGTGTGTGTGCGTGTGTGTGTGTGTGTGTGTGTGTGTGTGTGTGTGTGTGTGTGTGTGTGCAGGAAGGCAAGCGCATAGGAAAATGCAGAACGGCGGCGACAAGGACAACAAGGACGACGGCAATCGGCGCACATTTTGGCATTTGAGCGCAGCGACGCGTGCAGCACGCAGGACGCAGAACGCAGGAGGACGACGCAGATCCTGACTGCCAGCGACGTCGTCAGGCTGATGAGCCTGGCAGCCGCCCACGCGCCTTGGCATTTGCCAGGCTCCAGCAGCAACAAAATTTCGTCGTGGCGCTTGCTTATTATTTTGCTTGCCGTCGTCCTTCTAGCGATAACCTCAATTTTTGGCACCCTGGCCAACAACATTGCCTTGCATCCTGGCCCCCTCAGCCCCGCCGTGCCCCTTGCCACAGACCTGGCCAGCCATTGGCGCCTGGCTCCTGCACAGATTTGATGGCAGCGCCTTGCATTTTCTTATATATATACATATATTTATATTTTTTCTATTTTTTTATCTCTTTCGTTGCCATTTCTTTTTTTTTGGTTATTTTTTTTGTAGCCTGATAAAACTCTTTTCATTTTGTTCTGGCTTGTCGTCCTGGTCGTCCTTGTGCTCGTCGTGCTCGTCGTTTTTCTTCTGGCCCATTCGACGCCTTTCCTTAACGCTTTTAACAGTAATGACGAAAAAGTGTCAGCGTCCTCGACGAAGGATAATAACAAGTATGGACAGGCACTGCAGCGCCGGCTACGGGGGCAGAGCCAGGGGGCGGGGACAGGGGGGGCTGGGCGTGGAGCAACGACATTTTCCTCATTTTGTGCCTGCTTTGGTTTATTTTCTTTCTCTTTCGTTTTTTGTTATTTTTTCATAGCCCATGTCTTGGATTTTGCCAGTTTTCTTTGTTGGCGGCTGCGACAACGAGTTGATGTTCTTAATTGATGAAGAAATTTGGGCTGTGACAAAAACGAGCAGCGAAAGCAGAAGAAAAAACCTGATGAAACCTATGCGAATCGCCGAACACAACACCGACAGCAAAATACCCTTTCCATAAATACTTTTCTAGTCTATATCCTTAACGAAATCTTTTAAGAAAAGGCAGGTAAGACTTATATAGTACTTATATATGATATTTATTAATAAGTCAAGGATGTGTCTGTGAGCCTAGCTTCTAGCTGATAATTACTCGTATCATATTACGAACTAGTTCAGCTGATTCCGGTCCAGGAACGTCCTTATGTCACACATAAATATATCCAAATAATCTGATTAATCTGATTAGTTTGCGATTGCAATAAATGTGATCTACTCTCCTACTCTCTCTCTCTATCTCCGTTTCTCTATATCTATATTTATCTTACTCTCTCGCTCTCTCTCTCTCTCTCTCTCTCTCTCTGTCTCCCACTCTCTTTTCACCATACTCAAATACACTATCTGTTATCAAATCGAAATGCATTTGGAAAACTAAAAGGCATCTATTAAAAAAAAAGTGCACAACGAGCTGAAAGTGGCAACTTTCTGGGCGGACCTTGAGTTGGGCTCTTTGTGGGGCTAGCATTGCAGGTTTATGTTTCAATGGACCAATATAAATATTTGCTAAAGGCATGATTCATTACAGCTTGTTGAGACAGCAACGTGAGATGGAAAAGCATCATAAATACATTGACCTGAATATTAACAATATGTATTCCATATTCTACTATATAGAAGCCAGTCTGAGGAGGTGTTCGATAGTTGAACAATACCAGGAGGGGAGGCAAAGTCCAAGCTCCTCGTTATAAAAGAACTCAGCAAAGGTTTTGCCAAACGAGAATTCGAATTGGGACAATCAAAGCCCAGCAAAAACGAATTCCCAGCTGTTCAGAAGTATTCGAAAGCTATCTATGGAGCAACTAAATAAGCAATAAATAAATTTAAAGCCTTATACTTATAAATGAAAAAATAAGAAATAAATAAATGTTAAGCTATTAGCGGTTTATCCGCGAGTGTTTGGACAGTCGAGCGTCTAATTGAAAAGCCTTAAATTGTGTGGCGATGGCTCAAAGCAGTTGCCAGCTCAAACGGAATAAGCCGGGCCCAAACACGGCATAAAACTTGGCCATAACTCAGCTCGGGGAGCGGCTGAGATGCTGTTACCTGTGTGTGTGTGCGTGTGTGTGTGTGTGTGTGTAATCTTCGCACTTTGCACGCTTTTTTGCAGTTTCAATTTCACACAAATTCTGCCTAATCTATGTAAATGCGATTAAACGCTTTCCTAAAATAGCCACTCGGCAGCCGGGGCAGCCGTGGCAGCCGGGGCAGCGTTCCATCAAGTCGCTGCATCAAGTTTAATGGCCAAGCGTTAATGAACACGACCAGCATCCGATTTGGACACACAGTCTCAGTCTGAGTCTCAGTCTCAGTCTGAGTTTTGAGCTCGAATCCAAGCTACAGTCGTTGGCCAGTCGCGACAACAAGAACAACAACAACAACAACAACAAAGGACGCTCCACTCTGAACTGCAGCTGAACTGTTGCGTGGCTGGCACAGTGCCTGCCACAGTGCCTGCCACTGACACTCTCTGACGCGTTGACTGCGCATGCGCAACGCATGCGTCTTGTTTGATTTGAAGATTTCAGGGAAATGCGGACTCGTTGCGAGTATCCTGCGCCTAGCAGCAGGCAACCAGGCAACCAGGCAACCAGCACTCAATTTATGTGCTGCCCAAACTGGCCAGCAATGTGCCGCTGTTGCCGCTGTTGCTGCTGTTACCGTTGCCGTTGCCGCATCCATCGGCCACAACTTAATTACACATTCGTCCAATTAAAGTGTGCAAAAAGCAATTCATCATCGCGAGCCGTTGCCCCGTTATTGCTGGCCAAGTTCTAACAGCAATTAAATGAGAGCCGCTGAGACGCCGCAACCGACCGCTGTCCCAGTCCCAGTCGCAGTTCTCATACCCTTACCCCCCTCCCCCCCCACCCACCTCTTCCTCGCCGCGCTGAGGAAGCCAGCTCCCGTTCGTAGCCATGTCCATGGCCAGCATGTCCACGCAGGTGCAACCGAGTTTCAGTTATCGTTTCACATGCAAGCAGCACGTTAAATGGTCATATGGGTGTACACACATATTGAAATGGCATCTTCCGAGTTATTAAAATGAACTGGTCTCAACTTTCTTAACCCCCCCTCCCCGCTCGATCCGCTCAGCTCTCTCTCGCGCGGGCAGACCAAGCGTGCCCCATTCAATCTACCGATATGCATATAGAGTTGTCTCCGGCAGTGGCAACTCAATCATTCCAGGCCAAGTATCCACTGACAGCTGCTGCTCGCCAAGTTGCGGAAGTCCTCAGCGACCGGAAGCCCACGCGAACAGCGAAAGGTGTGAAAGTGACGCAACAAAGCAACAAAGCAGGGAGGCAAGGGGCAAGGGGCAGGGCTTCTCTGCAATAGCCAATATTGTTTATCGATTATCGGAACTGTTCTAGAATTCGAAGCGAAATGGATTAATGTGCTTTATTTCTCGACTCCAAGCAAATCTAGTTCTCAACAGATCAATCAATCAATCAGTTTTATGTAATCAATCACAGTTTATGGAAAACGTTTTTCGTGCAGTTAACAATTGGCATTGTGTCTGTATTTACTTTTCAAGCCAAATCAAAGTCTAGCACAGAATCGAGTGTAATATACCCTGTACTTAGATTTAATTATGAAAAACTTGTTCCCCTTGATTCTGAATAGCTTCCATGCGTTTCAGCCGACTCCGAACTATTTAAGATACAAAGATACAAAAACTATTTAAAGCTAAAGCTGCATCAGGCTGATCAGGCTCAATATGTTTAATGCACAAGACTTCTTCTCGACATAGTAAAAATTTGCAGTTAAATACCAATTTGTTAGGCCATCAAATTGGAGGTATAAGCACATGATAAAGTTCGCTTATTTAATCGGATATATTTTTAAAATGCTTCAAATAAGTTTTGCATAGATTGTTGAGCTGCTCAGAATCGATTATTTCTAGATGTTTCTCGATATTTCCCTTAGATAGCTGCCCAGGTCTAAAGAAAAATGTTTGAAACTTCTTTCGCATGGAACTGCCAACTGAATTGGAAGTGAAAGCCTTCGAGCGCTACTCCACTCGCATATATAACAGACATTCTTCTTCGTTGGCAGCTCTGCATTTTTTTTTTGTCATTCTCGCAGCCTGCAGCGCAGTTTGGTGGCAGAACTCGAGCGTTTACCAACTGACCCAGCCCCAGTCCGGCCCAGGCCAGCCCACTGGCCGCAATTGGGCCAGGCACATAACTAGCTGGGCCCCCTCCCCCTGCCGGAGCCGGCTAATTGGCAAAGCAAACACCGTTTCTCAATGCGTGTCATTAAACGGCCGTAGAAGCCGTTTATGATTGAACAATCAAACACGCCCACTAAAAACGGCTAAAATACGCCCACGGCCCAAAGGCCTGACAATGCGCATGCGAATGCGATCCGATGCGATGCGATGCAATGAGATGCGAGCAGCCGTTAGACGCACTCGGCGCTAATTACAGTTACAGATGCATTTACCAGATACCCCTCACCTACCCCCGTGTTGTGACTGAGCTGGTTGTCTATTCATTAACTTAATCACAGGTTGGCAGTGCGTCAAAGCCCAGCCAGAAGCAAAAACAAAACTGCAGCCGTAGCTTTAATTGAAGCCGTAGCTGCAACAAAGGCAACTGAGGCTGAAGAGGCAGCTCCGAATGAAGCTCGAGCTAAAAATGAGGCTGAAGATCTAGCTAGAAATGAGGCTGAAGCTGAAGATCTAGCTATAATTTAAGCTGAAGAAGTAGCTAGAAAAATAAAGCTAAAGCAGCAGCTAGCAATGAGGCTAAAACTGAAGAAGTAGCTAGAAATGAGGCTGAAAATCCGGCAAGAACTTAAGCTGAAGAAGAAGCTAGAAATGAGGCTGAATCTGAAGACTTGGCTAAAACTTAAGATGAAGACGTAGCTAGAAAATCGACTGAAGCTGAATATCTAGCTAGAACCGAAATAAAGCTAAAGCAGCAGCTAGCAATGAGGCCAAAACTTAAGAAGTAGCTAGAAATGAGGCTAAAAATCTATCAAGAACTTAAGCTAAAGAAGAAGCTAGAAATGAGGTTGAATCTGAAGACTTGGCTAAAACTTAAGATGAAGAAGTAGCTAGAAAATCGGCTGAAGCTGAATATCTAGCTAGAACCGAAATAGAGCTAAAGCAGCAGCTAGCAATGAGGCTACAACTTAAGAAGTAGCTAGAAATGAGGTTTAAAATCTATCAAGAACTTAAGCTGAAGAAGAAGCTAGAAATGAGTTTGAAGCTGAAGATCTAGCTAGAAATGTGGCTGGAGCTGAAGACGTAGTTAGACACGAGGCTGAAGCTGAAGATCTAGCTAGAACTTAAGCAGAAGCAGTAGCTAGAAATAGTGCTAAGGCTGAAGCTGATTATCTGGCTAGAACTTTAGCTGAAAACTCAGCTCGAAATGTAGCCAAGGCTGAAGCTGAAGCTTCCGCCTGTTGCAATTGCATTTTGAATGCAACATAGAGCAACACGCGCAGGCGCAGTCAGCTTCATGTAGTTGCTGCTATTTTTTTCATTTTTTTTAATTGCAACCCTGGCAGCTCACGCACTTCATCAAAACACACACTTGCACACACACACACACAGAGACGCACACTCAATGCAGTTAATTGTCTACACAGAGCAGGCCGAGTGACTAACCGACTGCCTTTAAGATTTCCGCTTGGATTGAGTTATTAATTATGTGTGTCCTACTATGCCTACAATCCTCAACACACACACACACACACACACACAGAGTCGACCCCCCCCCCCCCCTCTGAACACTCAGCGCACCGCCCACGCTTGGCTGGCTGCGTTGAGGGCCAAGACAGTGTCTAATGTGTCCATGTCTGAGCCGAGCTGAAATTAATGAAATAAGCAAAACATTGCGTTAACCAAAGTTTACCCAAAGCCACGCAGCCAACAGACCAGTTTCTAAGTGAGAAAAATTGCAATTTAATTATGATGATGAGAGATGTGCTTTTTGTTCTACCTGTTCTTGTCGGCTGTTCGGCGCTGTTCTGCATTTTCTGCTTCTTTCCCTAGTCCAGAGCCCGAATGCGATGCATTCGAGTTACAGCTTGTTGAGCAAAAAGCATATGGAAAAAAAGCACCTCAATCATTCGATTTATCAAGAGAACAATAGCTATTCAAAACCCTTAAGATAAACAGTGTGGAGCAACGACAAAATCTCTATATATCAAACAGTTTGTCCTGACTGAATGACTGACGGATTGACTGACTGATTGACTGACTGACTGACTGACTGATTGACTGACTGATTGACTGACTGATTGACTGACGGATTGACTGACTGATTGACTGACTGACTGACTGACTGACTGACTGACTGATTGACTGACTGATTGACTGATTGACAGACTGATTGGTGATCAACGCACAGCCCATGCCGTAAGAGCTGGGAAGCTGAAATTTTCACTGTAGTTACATTATATAATGAAGGTGCACGTTAAGGCGGGGTTTCGGGAAATTCCACCCGCATGTCTGGAAAAATACAACTTTTTTGTTTACCATCCGATCAGCCTCGAACTCATTTTCAAAGATCTTTGTTCAAATTAATTTGAGGGGTGTTTCGCACTTCTTCCAAAATTCATCCCTCCTTGGTGGAAATGGGGGTCAAAATCATTTCCAAGGATCTATATGAAAAATCAAAATCAAAATCAAAGCTTCCTCGGTGGAAAGTGCGATTCAAAGATTTTTTTGGTAAAGTATTTATTTTTGTCCGATTTCCTTCAAACTTATTTTCAAAGCTCTACATATGAACTTAATGAAGACGTGCTTTAGCGATTTGAGAAATTTCGCGCGCAACAGTGGCGGAAAAAAATTATTGATGGTCAAAATTCATGTAAAAATGGTATCCTCAAATTTCCTATTTATATAGACATAGGTCAAAATTGCCCACGCCCATAACTCGGTCAAAACTCAACCGATTTTCAAAAGGTTTGGCTCTTTCTTCATGGCAATCTGGCCACATTATTCTTGGTCAAAATTCATGTATATATGTTACCCTCAAATTTCCTATTTTGATATAGGTCAAAATTTCCCAAGCCCATAACTTGCTTAAATCTCATCCAATTTAACGAGGTTTGACTTTTTGTTCAGGGTTTGACATCTAAATCTGGCAACATTTTTACGAGGTTTGGCTCTTTTAAAACTTTTAAACTTTTTTAACAATCCATATAATATATTATTATTTGTATGTAATTTATGTTAATTACTATTATTAGTTACCTATTATTAATATTTATTTTTATATTTTTGTATTATATATTCATATCATGATTACATAGTCATTTCCAAGAGGAATTAAGCAGCCAACAATTTTGTTACATTTTCGAGCAGAACTTTTATGGATTAATTTTTTTGCCCGTTGCCCGTTTCCCGTTGCCCGTTGCTCGATGCATTTCAGGGACAAACACCTGACCGGGATACGGTGGCTGTTCCGGTTTCTGTTCCTGTGTCCTGTGTCATGCAGAGATCCCCAGTTGCCACGTCAGTGCGTCATCTAATTTAACTTTTTCTATTACATTGCACATCGGCCCTCGTGCATTTGTCACGCCGGCAGCAGCTCTGACCCCTCGCATCCTTGAAAGACTGACAATCTATTTCTTTTTATTTTTATTTTTATTTTTTATTTTTATTTTACTTATTTTTTATAAGCTGCGGACGCCATTTTAACGCTGTGTCATTGTGTGACATTTTCGCGTGGGCGCCGAACGCATCGCAGAGAGTGCGAGAGAGAGAGAGGGGGTGGGGGCAGTGCGGGGCGTGGCAAGGCAGAGGGAAAAGCGTTTTAAGTTGACTCAGCTCCCAACTAAACGCTACCCCAAAGCAGCGACTACAGAACCAAATGGAACAGAACTTTTAACCCATTTTGCGCAAAACAGACGAACAAACAAACAGACTGAGAGTGAGGGAGAGAGGGAAGGGAAAGGGAGCGACAGATAGAGGGTTTGTAAATTGGGTCAAAATGCTGGGCATGGGGTCAGAATATTGCATTGGGGCGACACGACACGGACTTGGATGCCCATAAGTTATATTTATTTGACTTCATCTCAGCTACTTACTTGACCTTATCACTCGGCTTGACGTGATATTAAGCAGAAGAAGCAATCTTTAAGGAAACTTAGTTTTTCAAGAAAACAGCCGAATCTAAGCCTGAAACGAACAATGTTCGGGAAAAAGTAGTTAGAAAAAAATACAAATAGAAAATAATAAAATAATTAGTACTAAAAAAGTTTATTTTTAAATATGAAAATAAGAATAAAATAATTTAGATTCATAAAATATTGTGAGCTTTATTTAAAATTAAAAATATTATGAAAATCAAAGCCAAAATCTGGCTGTTTCAAAAAGAGAACACTTTTAACTTTAAATATGACAATATTATAAGTTATTAATTAATTGAAAATTTATATATGTATATTTAAAATGTATATCAAGAAATGGCCAATAAAAAATTGAAAGTCCCTGCGAAAAGTAACTACAGATTTTCTAAGGCTTGTGCTATCCAAGATGCAAAAATATCTCTGTGATAATTCAGTTTAATTAAAAAAAGGCTGTGAGACATAAACCCATCAATCAGATATGGATGTGCGTCTTTCAGAAGAAGGGGCATTTCAAAGATACAAAAGTATCTATAAGGACACAAAAGTGTCTAAATGATAAAAAAGTGTGTTAAGGATATAAAAGTATCATAAATATAATAGAGAGGTTTCTCCAAAGAAGTATCTATAAAATACAAAAATCATTTCTAAGCTCTTGATATTTCGCTAAGATTAATAGGCCTCTCAAGTATTTCAAAGATACAAAAGTATCTTCAATATGTAAAACTATGCATATGCACTCCGTGCGAAAAGTAAATGCGCCTGAACGTGAGGTAAATTTAGTTTTCAGTTGAAATATCGGTAGATTCTAGTTGGAATAGAATTATATTATGTGAAAATGTGGCAAGATTTCCATTTATGGAATTCGCATCTTTTTTAAGCTCGAATTTGTGTGGAGGGCATCATTAGGGGCCAAGCGAATTGGAAACACGCAAAGCTGCACCTAGGTGAAGCATCCAAAACTCAGCTCAGATAGATAACTGAAAACTTTTGTGGAGTCGTCGCTGCTTGTGACTTGGCTTCAGCTGCTGCTGTTGCTGCTGTTGCTGCTGCTGCTGCTGGAGTAGAACTTGTTGCAACGCGAAATTGCTAGCCCAGGGGCGTTAACTTGGTAGCTTCTCTCATGTCATTTGCACACTGACAAGTTATTAATTAAAAGTAAGTTGAAGTCGGCGTCCAGCTGAAAGCTGCTGCTCTCCGAATTGCCCAGTGCAGTGCGGAGTATCTGTAAAAATCAAACGATTGCCCATTGGCAACGGGCGGCAATGGGCAAGATCAGGTTCAAGATGATCCCAGTGCCAGGCGTTGCCAGCTTTTGCTGCCAGCCTGGCCATAGATAATACTCATGTCGCGCATATTGACAGCTGTTTAAATGGGAGCTGGGACACCCGCAGCCGAAATAAAAACCTTTCCAGTAGCTCACAACTGCCGCCCGCTGCCTCAGCCTTCAGCTTCATGTGCAACTCTATTTGAGTCCATGTCCGGCGCAGAGTTCAAAACACAGCAGCAGCAGCAGCAGCAGCAGCAGCAACAACAACTGTGCGGTCTGAGGGTGCTCGCAAAACAAACGAAACTTAATTAACAAAAGGGACAGGGGCGTGCATGCACGGAGGGGTCAGCTGAGGTGCCTGCCCAGAGGGGGCTGGCAGTTGGGGGTTGGGGGTTGGGGGGGTGAGCACACACTAAACGGATAAAGCGTTGCCGTTCCCGTTGCCGTTGCCGTTGTTAGTTTCGTTTTCAGTTCTCGGCTTTTGGATATTGGTTCGTATGTGTTCGCTATGCCAAATACTCGCTCGCTCCCTTTCCCACTCCCTCTCTCCCTCACTCCTTCTCTCTCTCTCAGTTACTACTCCAACAACTATCTCTATCACTCCCAAGGGGTCAGCCGCAGTCGTTGTCGACGTTGTCGACGTTGTCTGCTGCTGCTGCTGCAGGTTATCTATGCTATATCAATGCGTATCCATTGGTTATATACCTCTCTCTCACCTAGGCATCATAGCACACACAAGCCCCCCCCCCCCCCTCTATACCAGCCCCCACCCCTCGCACTCATGCGTCCAAAACTCCAATCGAACTACAGCGAAGCCACATGCAAATGTCGTAGCCCTCCATTCCCGTTCGCCATATATACATATATACATACATACATACATATATATGTATATTTATATATATCTATGGATACGTATGACCGCCTGTAACCATTTACCAGTTCCTAGTTTTTAGTTTCCCCTTCCCCGCCGCCCATCCACGCTCATCATGCTTTTTTGGCCATCCCTTGTCTGTCTGCCTGGGCACCCGTTTTGGAGCCCATAATCGATGGCTAAATTTATTGCATTCTGTGTTTATTTAGACGATTGCCATGTCCGGGCGCGTCACAAGTGAAAAGTACAGTTGTGCTCTATCTGGCATAAGCCTTTTGTAACTAACAAATGTCGCATGGTGCAGTGGTATGGCCGCGGCTAGGGGGCATGGGGCACGGGGCACGGGACACGGGGCACGCGACAACAACTGATAAATTGCTGGTCAAAAATTCTTTGCAAAGTGGTCGAGAACCAAAAGCTGCCATTTTGAGCAAAGCGAAAATATTTACAAAGCTCAACATTTACAATAAATAATGCCAATAAATAAGAATTCGGATATTTCCAATGAATTCCCCCGATATAAACATTATCACGCTCTGAGGCAACAATTATCTTGGGCCTATCTACACGATAGCATAGAAAAGTACCCGAACAATACAAAAGCCTTGCCAAGGGTAGACTTAAGATACAAAAATGTCGCTGTGACAATTCAGTTTAATTAAACACAATTATTTATATAACAGATAAAAAAGTATCTTTAATCTAATTGGGTATCGAAAAGGAACTTTAGTAGATGTGAGACATAAACGTATTCACAAAATGTGTTAACGAGGTAAAAATACAAATGCATCTATAAGATACAGATATAAAATTTAAAAGATACAAAGATACCTCTAAGATAAAAAAGTAGCTTAAGCATACAAAAGTGTCTCGAGAATACAAAAGTATCCTAAGGATGCAAATGTATCTGAAGGATACAATAATATCTCAAGGATACATAAGTATCTCAACAAAAAGTATCTTTAAATTCCAAAAAAAATCTATCAAATCTGGATTTCTATCTAACATTGAAATCATAAAATAAGTCTTGCATAAAATAATTATTTCAGGGATACAAAAGTATCTTCAATATGCAAAAATATGCATATGTTAGATACGAAACAACTTCTAAATAAATTCGGTAATCCTATTTAAATCTACTTTATTTTATTATTATTAAGTTAAACAGCACCCATTCCAGCTGCAACCCCCAACCCCACCCCCACTCCCACCCCCACCCCCACCCCCACCACATGTCAGGCTCAGGCTTGCCCCGCGCATTGCCCTTGCATGAGCTCGCATTACGCATACGACGTGTAGGCGACCAACAGCCCTCTCCCTGACCTAATGCACCCCTCCTTCCCCCCACCCAACCCGCACTCCCTCCCCCCCCACTTCACCATCCCTCAACTAGTTGGCTGGTTAGAGGGCAGTGATTAGTTTTTGCCTGCCGCGTAAATAATACTAAAAACTTTTTTACATTTGACAACGACGCCAACGTCGGGTTTGGCGTCAGCTTCAGCGTCGACGTCGTCTTCAACGACGATGTGCAGCAGTCGAGCGCATTAACAAGTTTACAGCCGCATTTATGCAGTTATGTTCATTAGGGGCTGGGTGTGGGGGGGAGGGCTACTAGGGAGGGAGTTTCTGTTATTTTGTTTACTGAAACTGACGAGCAGGCGCATTCGGCAACCCATCGCATGTAATCCCCTACGCACACACACGCACACACACGCACACACACGCACACACACGCACACACACACACACACACATGCAGCCAAAAGATAGGGTAGGTTCTGTGCTCTCGAATGTGCTTCATCAATATCCTTGCGTTTCACAGCTTTACTATTTTTCATTTGCTTCGGACACACACACACACACTCATACACACACACGCACAGACAGGCAAAACAAAAACTTCACCCCCCCCCCCTCTCTCTCTCTCTCTCTCTAACGCTTCTCCAATTGCTAGCTGCCTAAGAACCACCTCGAGCCGTCCACCCGCCGGTTGCCTGGCATCAATAATCCCCAAAAAATTTTACCAAAAAGCACAAAAAAGTTGTAAAAAAAAAAATGAAAAGAAAACAAAAATGAAACTGAAAAAAAAATACAGTTCGACGTCGGCGCCGGCAGCGGCTTTTTACGCGCTGGACACACAGAAAACTGCCCAAGCGGCGACTGCAGGCAGCGACGCTGGCCGCAGCCGCAGCAGCGAAAACTACAAAAACTGCATGGCACCCCGCAACCCGGCAACCCCGCAACCCCGCAACCCCGCAGCACGCAGCCCGCAGTCCGCATGCAGTCGGCAGCAGCCGCTGTCCAGTGGCGGCGAACCAATCCTAACTAGCGCCTCTTTGCGTGGGTGTCGCAGCGTAGGCGTGGCCAGGCCGGCCCTGGCCCTGGCAGCGGACAGCGGGCGTGCGGGCAGCGGGTTGCGGCCAGCGGGCTGTGCGTAGGGTTACAAGGCGCCGCCGAGACCCACTCGTTTGTCGTGCAGTCGCAGTCGCAGTCGTAGACGTAGTCGTAGTAGTAGTCGCCACGTGCGCCGGCCAGGGCAAGCCAATCGCCCCCCTCCCCCTCCTCCACACCTAACACACACACTGCCTCTTAATGCGCTCGCTCTCACTCTCGCTCTTTCGCTTTCTCTCTCACTCACTCTCTCACTCGCGCTCTCTCACTCTTTCGCTCTCGCTCTGCTCTGCTCCGCTCTGGCCGCTGCCGGCTGCATCCGCGTCTACGCCGGCTGCGTTGGTCAGCGCGAGTCGCACAGCATTTGCACTCGAAACTGACTCGAAACTTGCCCACTGCTGCTGCTGCTGCTGCTGCTGCACCAATGCCCAGACAGTTAACTCCAACTCTGGCGCTCTCTTTCCGGCTCTCACTCGCTGCGTCAGCGTCGCGGCGACTGCGACGCAGCGCTTGAGTGAAAACT